CCCCAAAACCCCAAAACCCCAAAACCCCTTATCGCTGAGATCATAATTAGAGTTTATAAAATATATTTTCTATTTAAAGTATAAATCAAAATGAATGCAAGAGCAGGCTAGAGAAGAAATACTAGGTACTATAATTGTATCATAATAATGGAATTCATAGAGCAGGCAAATCAGCTTAAAAATTTGATGATACCTAAGATTTTGATGAAGAAGAAGAATTTGAAGAAGATATGGAAGAAGAGTATGAAGAAGACAAAGATGAATTGAGCTAAGCTGCAAAGACAAGAAAAACAAGAAACGGAAAAAATAATACTACCATGAAAACAATAAATAAAGAAGGGAAATCTATAATTGATAATACTTAAACAACATTTTAAGGTACTAAGTTAATGAATAAGTAAGATTGATTTAGTAAACTTTATAGAAGAAACCAAGGAAAGAATGTAAATGTTGACAAGTAATAAAACTTCGCAAAGCCATAATCAAATCCAAATGAAACTAGTAAGAGATGATCTAGGACTCATTATAATTTTGATGATGAGGGAGGAGAAGAATATTATGATGAAGAAGAAATGGAAGAAGATTAAACCCAGATGAATCATTCAAGACTCTCAGACACAATGATGAAGACACCAGAAATTAGATCACAAATTTCGATTGAAAACAATGTGGGTGCTGGCAAATAACCAAACGTTTATAATGACTTTATAAAGAAAGAGTAAAATAATTATGATAGAGTCCCATAACCTAACAAACCCTAACCGATAAACAATGATGATTATTTCAAAGCACTTAAATAAAGAAAATCAGGGGTCCCAATAAAGCCAAGTTTACCAAGGAAAATTGAAGCCTAAGAATTCAACTCAGACTTGGTCCCTCTTGATGATCCCTTATTACTTACTTGATAGGACATTTCAACTTACAAAGAGGTAATTCCATCATTTCTTCCAAATGATAAGAATTACAAGAAGTTTTAAAAGTTCCTTAATTAAGATGAAGATGATATTTAGAAGCGACTAGGTAACAAAGTAAATTCTGAATAGGACGCTTACCTTGCTAGGAGGAAAAAAACCCCAGCATATTCTGATCCCTTTGATCAGCATATAGAAAGAATGGACAATAAGAAATATGCAGCTAGAACTGAATCAGCTCATGATTCTCTTAATCAATCACTTTATGATATTCATAACATGGATGGGACTAGAGGATCTGGATTCAAATCAGTTTAAAGATAAAGAGTAACTATAAATGCTTTAGAAGAGGATTAACATCCAGGAAATATAAGTTTGCCTCAAATTAGAGAAAATATTGGATAGTTGGAGAAAAAGATGGAAAGGGAACTCGATAGAGAAGCTAAACTTAAAAAGGATGCTAAGCGATTGATTGGTCATGCACTTGGAAAGTAAGCCCCAGAGTTAGATAGAACAGTAAAAGCGTGGCTTAAAAAAGATAACAATCCAGGTAATTAATATGAAATTTCTTGATAAATTTTAGTCTACATAAATGAAATTGGACCGGTTTATTCATTAGAATATAAAGGAATGATAGAAAAAGAGAGAGTAAATATTAATAGTGTAAATCCAGTCATCGACAGACAACTTAGAAAAATAAATTTAGATAAGCTTAATGATCAAGGTTAGAATAATCTCCACTTAATAAAAGATAAATTCAAAGTAAAATTAGTAAAATTATAATTATAATTTAGACAGAAAATTAAAAACGAATAGAATAAAAGTAAAAAGAAGTTGATAAAAAGATAGAATTTAATTATTAAGAGATAAAATAGCTATACAATCTTTCCTTACTTGATTAACACTTTGGATCCCCTGAGGCATATCTTTTGAAGAAGAAGGAGGATGCCAAACTTACAATATAACATGTTTTCAAAAGGAAATTTGAAGAAAAATTAGTATTTTAAGAAATGAACGATCCAAAGACTTTGAGAAAAGATAGAAAAAGACTAGAAGATAGACTAAGAATGATAAACATAGCTGTAGAATTGGCGAAGCAAAGATTGGAATGGCTGCTATATGATACTCCGTATACTGTGGTTCAACTTGAAGCAGAAATTAAAGATAGTAAAAATGGATAAATCCCTTCAGTAGAAGCAGATAAACTAAAATAACTTGCATAAAATTTCAAACTTGATAGAGGAATATTTGATGAAATGCAAAAAAAATCAAGAGAGGCTAGAAATCTATTAGGAATCTAAATTTTAGAATCTTGAGCTTTAAAAAATAGGACTGGTTGCGAATCAATTTCAGATTTTGTACTACTTTTCAGAGAGTTCGTACATATTGAAAGATTGCCAGATTTATTAGTGCTTTTGAATGATGCTCTATTAAATAAGAAAAAATCATAGGATTTTTACGATTTTTTGAAAAAGATTGTAGAATTTGAAGATGAAACTGTTAAAATTAAAGATGAATTTAGTGACTAGAGGATGGAGTAAAACAGAGTTGAAACTGATTAATTCTATAACTATGATGAAATCGCTCTTGAAAAAGTTAAACTTTAAGATAAAGAATAGTTTTTGAAGTAATTTAAGCAAGAAAAGATTATTTTCTAATTCGTGCCATTTTGGTATGTTCCTTTAAATGATGAAAATGATAAACTATCCTTATAGCTAAGATAAATGTTGAAATTCGATATTGTTTAGGCTAAGATTGTGTGCTCATTTCTTACTTGTGATAATATGGATGAAATGATTACTTATGCGAGACATAATAGAAAATCAAAGGAATTTGTAGTTTTTGAAAGAGAAGAAATCAACTTTCTATCAAGGGAACACAAGATATCTTAAAACATTCTGATGGAATTCGCATAAGTTATGCTGATTGTTTAGAAGGAGTTTTTAATGATACCATAGATGCTATTTAAACTTGCAAAGCCTACTAAAATTCAAGAAATTAACTTCTCAAATTTTGCTAGTAATCATTTGACATTTGATGCATTAGCAGCTATTGTTGCATGTATCGAACTGCATTAGGATAAAGTTAAAAGATTAGTCTTTGAGAATTGTGAGATGAATCCAGAAAAAGCAAAAGTTTTTAAGGGTTTATTAGGCAATGAATTGAAATCAATTATATCATGTAACTTTGATAATAATACACTTGGTGATCAAGGTTTAGATCATATTGTTCAAGCTATGAAAAACAATCCCAAAGGAGATATGAGAATTTTGAGAATTTCAAAAAATAAGCTCAGTATATAAGCTGCTATAAGATTATCACATGTATTAAAAAAGAGACCTAATAATCTTCAACCATTAAATCTTTAGATCCTTAAGATGAGCTATAATGAAATTGGAAATATAGGGACTGAAACCCTCGCAAGTTTTATCAAGAAAAATGGGACGCTTAAGTATCTTGATGTCTCTTTTAACTAAATTGGGGATAGAGGTTTATACTCTCTTGCAGATTGCCTCTTAGAAAATGAAAAAATCGAGGTTCTTAACATGCTAGGAAATGAATTTACAGAAAAATCTCTTGCATCCTTAGGAAATGCGTTAGTTGAAAATGAAAAAATTAAATTGATAATTCTCAAATTAGGAAATCTTAAATGTGATAAGCCTGGGTTTCTAAATTTTATTAATAATGGCTACATGATTTCAAAAAAATTAAGGTATCTATATTTAAATACACCTCATTTCTAAGACCCTATAACAAAGACTCTTAATGACAGTTATCTTCCTAAAATATATTTAGCCACTGAATCATACGATTAAAGGATAGATTCTAATGTGCTTATAGATTTCATGAGTTAAATCGTAGAATTCTAGTTATTTGAGGGAGGAAATACAGCCAGGGTTATAAAATATGGAGAGAGACTTCTAAGAGAAATTATAAAGTAGAAGTATGAAATTAATAACATTGAAATTCTGATTTACTTGTTTGAGAATATTTTTGGACCAGAACATATTTTGAGGGACAATCTCTCACCTTTTCATTTGTTTGCGAAACATGGATAAATAGAAGCATTATCATATTGTTTGAAGCTAAGTGTTTCACCTAATTTTAAGACATCAATAGCTTACGAAGAGTATCCTTCTGCAACAGCTCTGCATATTGCATCAGGATATAGTTAATTGGATACTTGTATTCATTTGTTGAAATATGGAATAGAAGTCGATAATAGAGATTTAAATGGAAATACTGCTTTACATTATGCTGCTGTTTAGGGAGCTTTATAATTATCATAGCTATTGATTGATAACGGAGGATCAGCTTTGGTTTTAAATAAGAAAAACATGCTTCCAATGCACTCTTGCATATTCTCAGATCATTTAGGCTGCTTTAAATTCATCATTGAGCAAACAGATAAATAAAAGCAAATTAAGTACTTTGGAAAATAGATAGAAAGAACTATTGATGTTAAATGCTATAATGGTCTTACTCCTTTAATGATTGCGCTAGAAGAAGAATCTGAGAATATATTCCAATACTTAATTGATTAAGGAGGTGACCTCAAGGCTCAAGATGAAGAAGGAAATACTATCCTTCACAGAGCCATTCTTTTAAAAAACTAGAAAAAGGCAAAACTTATAATTAAGAGAGGAGCTAATATTCATATCAGATCATTTGCAGGAGAGACACCAATCATGATGGCAGTAAGAAATGGCTTGATAGAAGTAATAAGAGCGTTAGTTCAGATGGGTGCTGATATCAATGAGAAGAATTATCGTGGAGATACATTACTTCATTTAGCTGCAAAAATAGATCAAGCTGATGTCATTGGATACTTACTTGATAAGGGATTAAATACATTAGAAAGAAACAGAGAAGGATTGAGACCTGCAGATTTAGCAGTAAGACCCGGAATCAAAGAAATGCTGTCCCATAATAATGGCAGACATAATCTTTATACGGATGGGACGATCCTGAATAAAAATAAAGCACACAGACCAGGCATATCATTAGCTGGAACTGGTACAGATTCGGATGAGGAAACTAATGCAAGGAAAAATAATTCAAATAATAATGCAAAATTATTGAACGAAGAAATGGTAAAGTATAATCTAGATAAAAGAGATTTGTTTGGAAGCTAGTATGATAACAAATTGGCAGCATATGATGCTGCTAAAATATCTAGAGATAGAATAAAGATGGATAAGGATGAACTTAGAGATCCTAAAATCAAGATCGAAGAGTAGTCGCAAGATGATGATGAAGAAAATGAACTAGATGAGGATCTTGAGGAAGACGGAGAAGAATATGAAGATGATTATGATGAGTTAGCTGCAACAAAGCAGAGAACAAAATCTGATCAAGTAAGAAATCAAAAGAATCAATAGCAGTCTTAAAAAGCAAATAATACTAAGAATATAAAGCCAATCTTGGATTAACAAAATACTGCAAATAGATCAGCTGGATTTAGAGGTACAGTAGATGTATCTAAACAAGGAAAGAATACCAATAACAACTTAGTTAATCAAACAGGGGCAAAGACAAATTCTTCTAAGCCGAGATAAAATAATGATGCGGGAGCAAGCAAAGGGAACACTGAAGAAGATTTCTATAACTTAAATGAAGACGGGGAATATGGTGAAGAGGATGGAGAAGATTTTGAGGAAGAGGAGGAAATGGAAAATCAAACTGCCACTAGATCAATTAAGAAATCTACTGCTAGAAGAAATTCTAGAGCAAAAAGATGAAAATTATACGACATATATATTCGCTTAATTCTTAATTTCATAAATTCCAATAGAGTAAAATGAAAAAGACGGATGGGGTTTTGGGGTTTTGGGG